GGGGGGGGGGGGGGGGGGGCGCTATCAATCCTAGATCAAAGGGACCATAGCCTTGGGGGGTACCAGCGTAGAAACGTTCATGCTGGACAAGAAGTCTTGCTTTGCGAATGACAATCCTTCGTTCTCGATCGCACCCCATGCAGCATCAGAAAATCTGAAACCACAGAGGAAAGAGTCAACATGACTTGTTTTGAGAAAGCGCTTTTACCTTGGCTTAAATGTGATCATAGCGAGAGCGCGAGAGCTTCTAGAGTTTACTACTATAGTTGCTAAAAATACAAAAAATAAATTGTTTTGTAAGGGTAATATAAGGATTTTTATCTTTCGGTTTTTTGGGGGTTCTTAAGCGAGTAGTGGTTCTAGAGTTTAGGCTAGCGGCTAGTTGCTAAAAAACACAAAAAATAAAAATTTTCGTCCTTATAAAGATCGGGCTTGGTGTGGTTTAGGGGCTTGGCGTAGGCCTCAGTGCAGCTTTGAGTCTTTTCCTTTGGCTGAGAGTAGGGTTCAGGGTTTAGGGTTTAGGATTTAGGGTTTAGGGTTTAGGGTTTTGGGTTTGAGGGTTACCCAGACCCCTTCCATCCACCTAACAGTCGGCAGTCGGCAGGTGTCGACACGCAAAGATGTCGAGGTGGCCGTGCTCAGGGCTTTCAGCCGTCAGGGTTTAAGGTTTAGGGGTTGGGGGTTGGGGTTTGGGGTTTGGGGTCAACCTCAGGGTTTAGGGTTGAGGTCCCTGAACGTAAACCATAACCCCAAAAACGGGATTCAGGGGGGGGGGGGGGGGGGGGGGGGGGGGGGGGGGGGGGGCGTTGGCTTGAGGCGCATTATGGTACCCGCATGACTCACTATGTGTCATTTTACGTTTGAGGGTTTCAGATTATAGGGTGTCTAAGGGGCCCCTAGACCCTAGACCTCCTGAATGAGGCCCTCGAGAGGGTCATCGAAGCCCACAACCAGCGAGTGGAAGGTGGAACACTCCAAGCTCAGGCCTCTTTGTCTGCCTCGCCGGATGCCTCGCTGCCTGGTTTGCTGCGACTCCCCACTCCACGGGAGGAACAATCGAGATGCGTGTAGAGGGCGACAGACCGGGCGAGTCCACGGCTGGGGCGTCTCTGCTCATCAAGAGATCAATGCAGTCGGCGCACGACAGCCGGAAGAAAGTGAGCACAAAAGGCACGGCTCCCTGGTAGTTGCGCTTTTGTTAGGCGGCCAAGACTTTAAGAAGTGGTGCTGAGGATCTGGGAGGGCCCATCAGAAGATCATGAAGAAGGCGCCCTGGATGGTAGCCGCTCTGAGAGAGCCGGGCGCGGACAGGGACACCTGGCTGTGGGACTACTACACACCATCGACCGAGCGACTAAACCACCCTAAGCAGCCCTAAAACTGCAAGCGCCCCCCTGCAGCCCTAAGCAACCCTAAAACCCTAAGCAAGCCCTAAACCCGAATTGAATCTTAAACCCTGCACCCTTATAAACCCTAAACCCCAAGCCCGACACCCCAAACCCTAAACCCTAAACCCAAAACCCTAAACCCTAAACCCTAAACTCAGGGCCTAGGCCGCCCCCCTACGTTGGTGCGCCTTGTGGTCCCTGCAAAAAAGTAATTACCCTAAACCCATGACCCAGCCCAGGAGGTCCTGGACCCCCCGCCACAGCCTGCCCAAGGACCAGGGGGCCTCAGGCCAGGCCAGGCAGGGTGGGTACTCGAAAAATCAATTTTGGGTGTTCCGCCCCCGGCCCCTGCCTGGCTCCCTGCCCCTGCCCCGGCCCCCTAACCCCCCTAAGCCTGGCCGTTAGCCGGCCGGGCCCTATTGGCCCCACTGGTGACTGGGCTGGCAGTTCTCTCTTACCCACCACACCGGCTTCGGGGCCTCTATCTTACCTTCGAGACCTTGCCGACACCCTTGACTCTCCAATTCAACCAACATCAAAGTTTTGAAAAGTGGACTGTTGTCTTAGTTTAGGCCTAAACCCTAAAAGGAATAGGTTTGGGTGGCTTTGCCGCCTTGGACGGCGTGGGGTGGGAGAAAAGTGTTAGATGGCCCTCCACAACCGGGCCAAAGCTGCTCTTCAGCACCTCACGAAGCTTTCGAGCTTGTTCCGAAACCTAACCTTCACAGCA